GCAGCAACTCTTGTCTAAGTTGCCTTTTTCTTTTTATATTTTCATCATGGCGGACAAGAGAAGAGTTGAAATCCTCTGACACAGCTAGAAATAGGTATGTGGGTCCAAGGGAGGGGGCAGGGGGGGAGGAATTCAAAAGTATTTGTAAGTAATTGTAATTTGTTTTATTATAAGTAATTTGTGTGTGTGTGTGTGTGTGTGTGTGTGTGTGTGTTTTACCCGCCTCTCATGGCCTGTGGGCTGGCACCTTTTTATTTTATTTTTTTTAAAGCCATGCCGCTGCACCTTGCCATAGAGCGAAATATGTCCTGCTTTATGGCCGGGAGGTGTGTTGGCACCCTGGGCATGTACTTTAAAGTGCTGGTGGGCTGTATGGTCGGGCCAGGGGCGGCAGCATGCACTTTAAAGTGCCGCATGCTGGGCTGGGCGAGTCCTGGAAGATGGGCGGGAGATGGCGCAGGCATCCAGAGCCCCTTCTTTCACCGTCCCTGAGGAGCCACTGCCGCTGCCTCACTCCTCCTCGTCTTCATAGCACGTCACTGAGTCAGAGATAGGCAAAGTCCCGGCCACAGCTTTTCTTTGCCGTTTCAGAAGGAAGGGTAGGTCCAAGGAATTCCTAAAATTGCACAGATGCTGCTGCTTACAGAGGAGGCAACTCCATCAAAGCTTAAAACTGGGACCAGAATGTTTCCCCCCTGAGCATGAGAGATGTCACCCATCAAAGTATTTTAACTTTTTTAAGTGGACAGTGCACTTTGGACTTACAGTTTTGTATTTTCCTTTACAGAAAATCCCATTAACTCTCAAACAGAAAAAGTGCGAAACAATTTCATTTCAAATAAGTGTTCAAATGAACCAAAAAAAGTAAGTATAATACATTATATGTTAAATTTGTATCATTTTAAAAAAATCAACCTGTTTATACTACCAATGCTCCACAATTATGTACTTGGAGTAGTTGAAACATTTGCATGTGGCGTTTGTGGCAATTCACAATCAATTGTGAACCTCCTTGAGCTCATATTATCAGCTGGTGAGATGGGGAGGAGAGTCAATTTATTGCTGGAAGAGAAATTGGGATATGTGAATGATGGTAAAGCTGAGTTGTTCTTTTTTCTTGCTGTAGCTCTGCAATGGTTTGGGGATACCAGCAATGGAATTGCTGGTCTTATATTCTTGTTATAAAGTCTTGTCTGATCCTACCTCCTAAATCCTTCCCCCCCCCTCCCATTTTGATGCTGACTCTATCATTGCCCACAAGGCCATCCTGCTTAGTTGTCTAGCTATGCTCTATTCCCACTTATTTATGTCCAGAGAAATCAAAGAATGAGTACCCTTTAGCAGAGGGGTGTCAAATTTGATTTCATTAAGGGCCACATTAGGGTTGACCTCTGGGGAACAGGGTGGGTGTGGACAGGGTGGCCGTGGCCAGGATGGGCATGACCAGTTCAACATCAATTGTGTCGGGGCGCCTGTGGTGGTCTGAGCACTCTGCCAGTGAAAAGGGGCTCCCGAGCTCCATTTTCAGCTGCAACATCTTTCTGTAACCATCTATCAGTGAAAATGGAGCTCAGGAGGGCTGCTCGTGGCCCTCCTGAGCTCCATTTTTGATGGCAGAGGCCCCGCAGGCCAGATCTAAGCACCCTGTGGGCTGGATGTGGCCCTGGGCATTGAGTTTGACACCTCTGCTTTAGAATATAAGTTTCCTCCAATACTCCTTCTCATATGTTGCTTTGAAGCCTCTTGTTATGGCCCGCCAGGGCCTGTGGAGCTGGCAGCAGATTTGGACAGTAAGGAGTTTGGGGAGGAACATGGATCAGTCCTGGAGTCAGGGGAAGGCTCTGATGAGGGCTCTGTGTTGGAGGCTGAGCGGGAGCCAGAGCCGTATGCCAGTTATCAGCTGCTTCAGAGTCAGACATCAATGAGGCAGACGAACAGCTGGAGCCTGTTCCCAGTGTGCGCATGCACAGAGTTGCCAGATGAAGGGAACAGGTAAAGAACAGGGGTT